GGAGTTCTCATTTTTCACGTGGCCTGTGAGTGAATGTCACACTCACAGGCCACGTGCACACACGACGGAAACAATACATCAGCTTTCAGAGAGCTTTGAGAAAAAAAGCTTGAGTCTACAGAAAGCTTTGTTTACACCTTGTCATTATGGAGATAACCACTAACCTTGTCCTCCATGGGACTCAAATTAACAAGGGTAGTGTAAACAGAGGACACGTCTTCAAAGACCCCGAGGCAGAAGCTAAACTTACCTCACAGGGTGGCATAACAGTGTTTAGTGCTTGGCCTTATTTTTCCATAGGAGAGAAGAGAAAAGAAAGCACCAAGGGCAGGGGACAAAGGGTGAAAACGGTTTTGAGTTGGGTTTGTAGGTTAACAGCTGATGGTGTTGCAGCTATTTTGTTCCAACATCCTGGGGAAAAAAACAACAGAACAAGGTGGAGGTGTTTGGTTATAACACATAAACCCTGGCAGACTCTCGAGGTCTTGCTTAACTGATAACCAAAACAATTGCCAGAACCTACATCCGCTCTCCAGATGAAATGTGCAGTGATATTTGTATTCAGCCCCATTCATCTCACATTCTTCCACAAGTCCTGGGTTAAATTACGCCCCAAATATGGTGAATGTGGCAGGCTTGATGCTACTAGAGCTTTGGAGGAATGCACAGGATATAGTATCTGAAGGATGGCCCAGGGCATTCATTCCTGCTCCTTAGAGAGAGAACAGGTTTGGTGGCTTTGCCTGTTATTGTTTGAATTTGTTTTATGTGGTACAGTCTGTTGGGTCCAAAATGTTCTTCCTGTAGGCTTTTCTTTTCCTTGTTTAATTTTCCTAAGTAACTGCTCTGATCCACTGACGTGAAGCTGTGTGAATAAATACAGTTGTGGCCAGGAGTTCATTCTGACTCATCATAAAAAATGTTGTGGTACTTTTGTGGCCTTTAATGTTTTCTTTGAACTTTTACAGGGTCGACTGTTGATTGTACAGCGTACATCTTTAAAGACCTTTAAAAAGAAGAAATGCATGTCCAAGTTTGAATATATTTTGTATTTTTTCTACTACACACAGGCTCAAATACATACGGACAAACTCACACTTGATGAGGATGGTGATTTGGGAAGATCATTCCAGAAACTCAATGTTAGCCTGCACTATATAAAATCAGTTATGGATTTTTAAAGTACAGCTCACTAGACATCCTCGCTTATATCAGTTTTATTTCTTTTATTTTTATAAACTTTTCTTCTTTAAACTTAATTGCCTTTGAAGATGGATGTTATCTGAGGTTGATATGATAGTGTGGTCTATTTCTTGTCTTGTCTTTGATTGGTTGGTGGAGTTTTTCACTGTTCAGTTGGTTCCTGCCCTCTGCTTCACTCCCTGATGAAGGCTTGTGTGCTGAAACACGTTGGCGTTTAACCATCGCATGAGAAAAGGTATTTTGAATTATATATGAAAAGAGAGTGCTGTGGAGCTCTTTGATGTGTTTTGGCTTATTGTCCTCTTGGAGCACCCAACTGCATCCAAGTTTCAAACATCTTCATGTGGCTCTGAGGCGAAGCTTTGAGGTAGTCCTCCTTCTTCATGTTCCATCACTTTGTGCAACGTACCAGTCATACATGCAAACCCTCCCGATTTTCCGGGAGAATCACGAATTTCAGCGCCCCTCCCGAAAATCTCCTGGAGCCACCATTCTCCTGAATGTCTCCTGATTTTCCACCTGGACAACAAAAATGAAAAACCATATCCCAGAATTCATAGCATTGCCCAGCCAATTCCAGTTTCCAACAATGGTGGCAGCTACTTAGTTTCGATATCAGTCTTATTACTCTTTCTGGGTCGCAAAATAAACTTTTAGCATATTTTCAGTTGAGAATGTAGCTGTGTAAACATAAAATATCTGAGCCGACGAGAACAGCGAACTCCCAACACATCGTTTTCAAACCCCCATGGTCTTTCGCTACTCACGTTAAACATGATATATAAGTCACTTAGATAACTTAAAAATTTTATAGTTTTACTTTTTTCAGTGTTTTATTTGTTCCTGAGTAAATCGGTTTGGCTGCCTACCCGGCTTTTGGAGGACCCGGCCCACTTAGACCACAAAGGCCTGGTCCTCAGATGGATGCAGCCTCTGAATTTGGACAGCCCGGCTCAGGGACAGTAATAACTGTGACATTTAACTCACTGTAAAATTCAAGATCTTTGTATATGTCTATGCATATGTAACCCC